TATTTAATGCAGTAAGCAGACATGAAGGTGCAATACTCATTGCATAAAATGCGAAATAGAAATAAAAATAAAAAGCTTAAGGTGTACAAAATTGTGAAGTAGACTTTCATGAAGCTGTGAGAATTGCCAGGGAATGAATGAAAAGGAGAACACCAAAAAGCCAAATTCTGAACAACACAATGTTTACATGTAATTTCACCGCGAATGCAGAAGCATTCGTGAAGTCAACACAAATGTTTATATGAATCCTACGAACTCGAGTAGGCGTGCAAAATTACCAGACGACATTTGCATAATTCTAAACATAACAAAACCAAAAAAATTAAACAAACCTGGAACCATGATAAAGACTCGATCAAGCAGCTGCAATCCCAAAATCGAACGCTTGAGAGGGTTGTAAAACTAAGAAGTTGATAAATAAGGGAATTCATATCTGCGGAACCGATATGGAGGAATTGGGGAAAGTGAATCCGATCGTGAGCGAGAAATCAGGGATGAGGAAGTTTAACGATGCTTATCGTTTATCACTGTGACCGTAAAAAGACCCATATGCCCTGGCGATCAGATTTAGATCTGATTAGATCGGAGGGTTTATATTCATTCTTATTTCTTTCATTAGATCTCTTTCTCACCGGAACCAAACCCTATATATATATATATATATATATATATATATATATATATATATATATATATATGATGGGCCGATACCCAGTGGGCGGCCCAACTGAACCATTTACACTACTTCGGGTCAGACACTCGGAAAATACTCAGGTCTGGGCCGGCCCATGGAGCCAGGCCCGGTTGACTTTAGACCAAACGTAGCTGGCAGAGCCGGTCCGGAGAAGGAGACGGAGCAAATTGGCCGTTACAGAGCCGGGAAAAGGGGATCGCGCCCTTAACGGGATAGACTCCATCGATTATGCGTTACCTTAAGTGCATATAGCTCATGTATAAATAGATGAGACCCAAAAGGAGGAAATTCAAGCTAGATCAAGCTAATAATACATACCCGATTCTCGAATTCTCGTTCTTAATTTCGTTCTTACGATCCGCTTCGTGAATCGGATCATTTGGTGGATTTATTGTCCATCAAATTGGTGCTCTCATTGAGAGTTCGAGAATCATACTCAGAGGAAATCCTCCATTAAGACGATGGTTCAAACGCGCAGTAACGCCAATGTAGGTACCGGAGCTCCCCAACAGGGGGAGAATAGCACCACTGGAGGTCGGAACCTTCCCATCACCACCGGGGAGGCTGAGGCCCTCATTCAGAGGGTTGGCATCACGGCCGAACAATTCAAAGAGGTGCTGGCTGCACTTGCGCCCAACCGCGAGGTTGTGGTGGAAGATGTGGCTGGGGGACCCACAGGCGGAAAGGCTGGACCTACAGGCTCCCAAGGAAAAAAGAAAAAAGTAAGGCGGTCCCAGAAGAAGAAGGCGACCAAGCCTAACGGGAAGGCTGTGATGGCTGATGCGCTTTCCAGGCTGGAAGAAGAGGACGACTCGCCCTCCTTCGAGCGAATGTCTGCAAAGTCCATGAAACTAAAGAACTACCAAGTAAGTGGCAAGTCCCACTTGTACTTTTGCGGTCCAATTTGCAACCGGCAAAGTCCGAGTCGGAGTAGCCAACGAGAAGACACGAAGAGCCTTTAGGATACCACAGTCCAACGTTAACCGTGCCTACAAGGTATTTCATGATCTGTTTCACCGCCGTTAAGTGCGATTCCTTTGGGCATGATTGATACCTTGCGCAGAGGCATACGCTAAACATGATATCCGGCCTACTAGCAGTAAGATAAAGAAGGGATCCGATCATACCTCGATACTTTTTTACCTCAACTTCCTTACCTTTTTCGTCTTTGTCCAGATGGTCGGACGTGCTCATCGGGGTTGCCATGGCTTTGGCGTTTTCCATTTCGAATCGTTTTAGGAGCTCCTTGCAGTATTTGGTTTGGCAAATGAATGTGCCATCTTTCATTTGCTTGACTTGGAGTCCCAAAAAGAATGTAAGCTCACCCATCATGGACATCTCAAATTCACTTGTCATTAACGTTGAGAATTCCTTGCATAAAGACTCGTTAGTAGCACCGAATATAATGTCGTCTACATAAACTTGAACCAAAAGGATGTTATTGTTTTTACTCTTGATAAAAAGTGTAGTGTCAACCTTTCCCCTTTGGAAGCCACTATCCAAAAGAAATTTACTCAAACGTTCGTACCAAGCACGTGGTGCTTGTTTAAGACCGTAGAGTGCTTTCTTGAGTTTGAAGACGTGATCGGGAAACTCAAAGTCCTCAAACCCCGGGGGCTGGTCAACATACACTTCCTCTTGAATAAAACAATTAAGGAAGGCACTCTTAACATCCATTTGATAGAGTTTAAAATCCATAGACGAAGCAAAAGCAAGAAGTAAACGAATAGCTTCTAAACGTGCTACGGGTGCATAAGTTTCTTCGAAATCAATGCCTTCTTCTTGATTGTAGCCTTTAGCTACGAGCCTAGCTTTGTTTCTAGTGATTATTCCATTCTCATCAAGTTTATTACGGAACACCCATTTCGTACCAATAATCGTACGATCATCGGGCCTTGGCACCAATTCCCAAACGTCATTCCGTTTGAATTGGTTTAGCTCCTCTTGCATAGCCAAGGTCCAATGTTCATCGTTTATTGCTTCGGAAATGGTTGTAGGTTCAATTTTAGATACAAAAGCCATGTGTCCTACGGTGTCCCTAAGAGAGTTACGAGTACTTACCCCGCGGTTGATGCTGCCGATTACCTGGTCAAGTGGATGGTTCCAGTGCGTTCTCCAAGCGATGGGAAGCTCGGTTTCCTCTTGTTCCTGGGCTTCCTCTTGATCTTCTCCGTCCGCTTGGTCCTCATTTTCGATCATCACTTGAGGTGTTTCCTCAGATTGTTGTTGCGGGTTGGTGTAAATACCCGTGTTCTCCTCATCGTCATCAACGTGTATTCTCTCTAATGAATCTGCAAGATCATCACAAATGTCCTTTCTCGCCAAGCGAGGGTTATCTTCGGAAAATACAACGTGAGGAGACTCCTCGATAGTCAAGGTGCGTTTATTGAAGACTCTATAGGCTTTGCTACGTACTGAGTAACCCAGAAAAATTCCTTCATCCGACTTGGCATCAAATTTGCCTAAATTGTCTTTGCCATTGTTGTGAATAAAACATTTGCAACCAAAGACTCGAAGATGGGAAAGGTTTGGCTTTCTCCCTTTGTATAGTTCATAGGGCGTTTTCATGAGTATCGGTCGAATGACGGCTCGGTTTAACACGTAGCTCGCGGTA